AGATCCTTTCAGCCATGGACCAAAACCTTTTCGTTACTGAGGACCAAGTGTTTTTGGTGAGAAGGCAAACAACATGCACCGTAGTGCTACGCAGCAAGATGAACACTAATAACAACTCACCGTCAACGCGGTTCACATCCTGGCCTTAGACTCTGGCTTTAGAGTGAAGGATGTAGTATTTGTAGTGCAAGTCTGTCCCCAATGGCTGCCAAACATTTTGCTTCTGGCAGTAGCCCTCTTGCATTGCCCCTCACCATATGTCACGTCTCCAGCCATCTCCTCACGCCCTGTCTCTTTGCTTCCCTGCTCTGCACATCTGCCCCAGCCAGAAGCTCCATATCCCTAGAGACTCGTGTGAAGTGGCTGAGGCCCAACCACAGATGACAACATTAAGCAAAGCCCCTCGGCTGTGAGCGGTGCGGACGATGCTTCGGCTTTGGGCAGTTACTTTGAAGTCGCTCAGGGTGCTGCGTGCTCGCTGCACTGGAACGGCCTGGCAGGGGGCTGCAGAACAATGCCTACAACCCAGGGGAGGAGGGAGGCTTTGCCTGCATCTCCCCGGCAGGCAGTTTGTGGCAGCAGGAGGAAAGCAAACACCCATCCTGCCACCCACAGAGGAAGGGAAAGGCACGCTGTGCCAGGGCTGCGGGCAGAGCAGAAGCAGGGATTGACAAGAGCCAAAGGCAGAGCACACGGGAAATGGATGAAAGGAGCCAACGCTGAAATCTCCCAGAGGAGGACTTTGGTTTTTATCAGGTTGTTACACCGACATCGTGGCATGCTGGGTTTCAGTCCTTGGCTACCAGGCAAGCCCAGCCTGTGAAGTCTCATGGGACTTTATCTTCAGCATTAGCTCAGAGCAGGCTGCAAAATAACCCGGGTGGAGGGGCTGCAGGACTGTAAACAAAGGATTATGGCATGTGGCAAGGGCCTGTTTAGAGAGGAGGGACGGACGCTATCATGGGGATGGGGATCAGTAAGACCTTAGACTGAGTGCCTCATTAAAGTTTTAAACTAGTACTTAAATGGTCCAGCTGACAGAGGAAGGCTATGCTGGAGAGGCTTTGCTATGACTGGGAGAGATGCAGGAGCTGCCTCCAGGCAGGGAAGGGACACACTTATCCTCCTGCCCTCAGGGAAGGCACCGGGTGCCTGTGCTCCATAAGCAGCTAGAAAGAGAAGGACACTGTGCCTGGGAGATACCAGCAGCCTGTAGCCTAAAAACTGTGTCAGAGGGCTCCTTACTCTCCTCTCCCCAAGGCTGTCACCTTCCCCCTATCCCCAGGGCTCAGGAAGCAGCAGTATTCTGGTGCAAAACCAAGAGGTGTCTAAACAGGAGTGAGTAGGCTGAGAGCTGGACTAGCTACACAATAGCTAGGTCAGGGTCCTCGCAACAATGGCGTAAACACAGCATGAGAAAGAGAGAGTAGAAATTGCAACTAGACAGAGACAGGATACAACATGGAAAACAAAAGCTATTTAGCAAGGAGGAAATCATTCGCCAACTAACGTTCCCCATAGCCGAGGGGGGAACCGTTCTAGAAAGTCAAACTGTATTGAGCGAACCTTAGGAGAGCTAGCAAATCAGAGAAGGGGACATGAGGAGATGCTGGAGAGGAGGAAGGCAACGCACCAGCACCAGGACTGTGCCAGGCAGCACAGAGGTAAGTGCTGGGTGGGAGCCCACTGCTCAGTTCAGGGCAGCAGCTCCTGGGAGAGCCCGACACGCTGAGAGGAGGTCAGAAGAAAGGCGATAGCTCATTGTGCAACTACCGAGGATTGATTTGCAATGACAGTATGTTTTCCCTGGCTCTGAGGGGATATAGAAACCGTTTACAAACATTTGTAAGGCATAAACCCAAGCAGGAGGGAGGGCAAATTACTTACTAAGAGAAGACAAAACAAAGAGAGGAAAACCCAAAGCTGAAAGTAAATAATAACATTTTACCAATGAGGTCTAGTAGGTTGTGAAATAGCTCTCACGAGGAGAGCAGGGAAAAACCTAGGTACGGGTGGTTTTAAAGTTGGGTGGGAAGAAAGTAATTAATGCATGTGTGGTGAAGAGCATACAGAAGAATTTGTTGAAATGATACAAATATTTCCACCCCCACTATCTGTAGTCCCAATTTTCCACTGCCCTGCATCTCTTGCTATCATTAACAGCAATGCAAAGAAGGAAAATGTTTATTAAAGCAGGAGCGTAACCTTATAGTACTGCTCCGCCTGAGTGCATAGATTTCTAGGCATTAGGTTTTATAATTGTGTATGGGAAAACGACTCACTAGCAATGATCCTTTTCAACTCCTCCAGAGATCTCCTCCTGCCCCATCCCAAATCTCCTTTAGTCTTGATGAGGTAGGGGTATGACTCCATGTTTGGATAGTGAGTGTTAATGTCTCCTAAAGTCATACCCAGCTGCTTCTAAAATCTCCCGATAAATCCCCTCCCAATAGCATTTGGAAGACCACTTACAGGACTCCTAAAGATCCACGAGGAAACCCGAAAGATCAAGGCCCAAATACAGCATCACTGGAGGCTGAAACAGCAACCTGCCAAAAGCCCCGAGAAGCCCACACCTTACCTGGCATATACGCTTACCAGCTTAATATTTTCCACGAGGAGGGAACACAGCTATGGCTTGACAGCTACGGCACTGCAGCTAGTATTAATGGTTAGCCCCATCAGCCAGCGAGCTAGGCTCTTCAGACAGCGGAGAGCTGTTCCCTGGCCTGAGGATTTTTCACGTAACTAATTACCAAGCTTTATAACCGTTGCCTGCAGACTATGATGACGACGAATGAATGAGATCAGATTAGTCAATATGGTTTATTGGTGGAGTTTGCCCACTCGCTGCAGATGCATCATTACTGTGTGCATTCATCAGCACGGGGATGAGCATGATTCGAAGCCTCTGCCTGTACAATATGAAACCACAACCAACCTGCAGCTCTTCGGCTTTCTCCCAAAGACTCCCGAGGCCTTTCTTGGGTCCTTCTGTTGCTCTGTATCCTTGTCCCAGGCCATCCTGGAAGTCCTTTGCTGAGTGTCATGGCCTTCCTTACCAAAGCGAAGCAGATTAAGCTGCGTCTGTAGAGGTTAAATGAGAAACTGCTGAAAAGCACTGAAGTTGTAACACAGTGGCTAATGGTGCATTTGCTACTACTGTCCTCTGCCTGACAAAGTCAGAGTGGCTCCACTGTGTGGCACAGATGCTCTGCAGCCCCGCAACCAGCAACGATCCCCTTTTTCCTAAACGGTATATCTCGAGCAGGGCATTCCTCAACCCCACTGAGGCTGCTGAGCCCAGGATCCCTGCAGAAACGGGGGATCTATCAAAGTAACTGCAACCAGCATGTTCAAAGTCAGCACCTGAAAAGGTGTGCTGTATTGCCTATAACATCACTCTCGTTCCCCCTTTGTCAGTCCTGACACATCCCTGCAGCAAGTAATAGCTCGCGTTAGCACTAAAGGGAATAGGGTTTCATGGCTGGAAACTGCTTTGAACTGAAATTTGAGAACTGCGCCTTTCTTTTCCAGCTCTGGCATGAATTGCCTAGGTGGCCCAAGGCAGGTACCTTCATCTCCCGGCGGCTCAGTTTGCCAGCTGTAAAACTGGGTTAGCATCCCCTCCTCCCTCTTACACCCCCTTTATCCATTTTTATATTAACCCTCAATACAGACGGGCTTGTTTGCGTGCAGGCACAGTGCAAAACAGGGGGCACGACCCTGAAAGCGCCTCTCGGATGGGGAAGGATGGGTGGCACAGAGGGGCAAGTGCCCGGCAGGACGCAGGGATGGAGGGATGCGCACGCAGGGATGGAGGACGCCTGCAGCGAAGGACCCACGCC